GAAGATTGTTGAGCTCAAATGAGTAAAGATTGGGTTGTGGAGTGAAGGAAATCTTGTGGAAGAACCTTGTAATCAAATTTGCACATCTAGTGTTCGATAAAATGCTCAAACTAGCTGAAACCATGAATATCTTCCTAATCTGTGTTCAATTTTGTTATGTTTCTAAATAGATCGAAGTTGCTAGGATTTTGGGAACATTGTAGTAATTTAAGAAAAGCTCAAAGCGAGATATGTTGGCTAAACTACTCTCTTACAATTGAATTCTTTGATGTTCCCGTAAGTTTTAAGTATAGTTGGCTCAAGTTCCTAATCCCCATGTTGCGAGTTATTCCCAATAAATTTGATTATCCCGAGTAAGTAAGTGTCAAGAATTATGTATTCAAAATGTATTCCGAATGTTCCTATCACCTTATGTTATCCTTTGGGAATGTGTTCAAGAATGATATGTGTATTAAAATATTATGACTTTGGGTCGTGTGTCAAATGAAAGTTATGATGTCAATTTGTGTGAGAAAAACTCGATGTACTTAAGACCCTTAATTGCCCATGTGTGTACCTAAAGTCTTGATTGGAAATGTGTTGTTTTGATAATCTATAAAGATGCTTGAAAGTGAAAGAAGTGAGTTGGAGATATAAAGTATGGCCATCGTGCCAATAGTGAAAGTTATACATGTGGCCAATGGTGCCAATGAAATGAAATGATGTGACAAAGGTTAAGAAATGAGCATTGATTCAACTATTTCAAATTGACTTTGAAAATAGATTTGCCTAAAAGCTTATGTACTCGAGTCGTGCCCAAAGGTGGCTGTTTTAATTAATACTATGATTTGCAAGTATTTCCAGTGTATTTTGAGTTCTTACATATTCATGAGTGAAATGGTGTATTGTCCTTTTGGGAAAGTATTTTAAAAATAAATGGTGTATTGCTCGTATATGATTTTAATGTGTGTTTCTATTGTTGGACAGTTTGCCTTATTCTTTGGGAAGAAACCTATTGTGTTTAAAGTTTCCATTATTAATGAGTTTGAAGTCATGATTTCGGAATATCCTATATACTGATGTTGAGATGATGATCCTTGAAAGTAAAGAAATAATTGTCATTGTGAATATACCTCTACCCGCACACATTGGGGATGAGGCGGCAGTGCCGCTTTGTGTAGGGATTGTGATTGTGAATACACCTCCACCCGCATACATTGGGGGTGAGGCAGCAGAGCCGCTTTGTGTAGGGACTGTGATTGTGAATACACCTCCACCCGTATATATTGGGGTGAGGTGGCAGGGTCGCTTTGTGTAAGGATTGTGGTATTGAAATTACACCTCCACCTGCACACATTGGGGTGAGGCGGCAGGGCCGCTCTGTGTAGAAAATATGGTATTGAAATTATACCTCCACCCGCACACATTGGGTGAGGCGGCGGGGACGTTTTGTGTAGAGGTTGTTACAAGGGATCTCCCAACTAAAAATAATATTATCTTCGTATTTTGGAAATTATTATGTTTTCTTGAAATTTGGATATCATTGATTGTTGTTTCCATGGTTTTGCCTTTCTTACATTGGCATTCTATTTTGAAAGAGGACAGTTAGCTTTACATACTAGTACTATTCCATATGTACTAACGTCCCTTTTGTCGGGGGCGCTGCATCTTCAATGGATGTAGGTAGTTCATCATTGAGCAGCTTTGGTCCTCGTTAGCAGTTACTCTCTCTTTTCAACAGGTTTGGGTGAACCCTACTCTATTCCGGACCTGATGTCATTTGATGTTGTACATTGTGTTTTAAGGTATAACGGGGGTCTTATTGTCGGCACTTCCATACTACTCTTCTGTTGTACTTAGAGGCTCCGTAGACAGGTTGTGGGTGGTGTTTGATGTTGTGAATTAAACTAGAAGTGTTGGTATTTGGCAAACATATTTGTTTCATTATATCTATAAACTCACAATATTTTGAAAATCGTAAATGAATTTCTTTTGAGAAATGGGAAAAGAATGGGGAACATTTCACTCTCCTCATGNCATCATCAATAACCATAGCCGGCATCGCCCACCATTATAAACTACCACCACCCACCTTCCTCAATCATAACCACCACCACCACCACCCACCACCATCCTCAACCATAATTGTTATCGCTACCAATCACCACTATCTACTACCCAAAATCACCACCATCAGCCAAAATCATCACCAACCACCACCTCTAGTCGACACTCACAAACACCTCCGTTAACCATCACCACTACCAATTATCATATATATATATATATATATATATATATTATTGATAAAAGTATTAGATTAATCAATATTTTATTTGAATTTTATGTTTATTAATTTTTAATTAAAGATAAATTTTATATATTCAAATGTTAAAAAAATAAATAGACTTAATAATTTAGTATTCGAATCTTAATACACAAAAAAATATTCAGATGTGTATTCAGATTCAAATGTCTTAATCTTAATACACATTTGATATTCAAATATGTATTCATATTCAGACGTCTTAATCTTAAAAAAAACAAATGAGGCCTAAGTGGAAGGGAAGGACCAAGTTACAAAAATTATAAACAAAAGAAAAACATTTTAGGAAAATAAAAAAAAAATCCTCTTTTAACAAAGTTGAATATGTTCAAAGAGTGATCTGGATAGATTTAATTATGAATTACCATTTCATTATGAATTACCATTTCTGCAGTGTGATGCAGACATGAGGGATTAGTTTTCTTTTGATAGTATAATGCCCAACATTAGCGATCCTCACTGCAAAACGTTGAATTTCAAAAAATAGCATGACTGAATACAAGCAACAATTGCAACATTAAAAAGAAATTGCTACTCTCTCCTTATAACCAAAATACATATTTTATTTAACTCTAAGAATACCTATTTCTGTAAGATAAAAAATAAGAACAATTTGTGATACAAGCAAAATATTAGACACATTAATGAAAAAAGTTATCACATTCTATTGATAACAAGATATGTTAATTAACTCTACGAGATATATCTGCAAGCGTGCACCTCAGAACCAGAAAATAGAATGATTCAGGATATAAGATAAAGATATATACATGAAATTCTTACTCTAGTGCTATGATTCTCAAAAGTTCTTAGCGACATACTACTTTTAATTTTTGCATAATAATCAGACATGAAGCCAAAGTAGAGTACTTCTAGTATTACATGCAATGAACTCGACCATAAAACTCAAACTTCAACAATGGCATCACATGCCATATCCCCAAACCACATCTACACATACTCATCAATAAGTTTGCGATATTTTTTTTACTGGTGACGTGTTATTTTTTTAACTAAACAAGTAAATGGAAAAAAAGGAGGACAACCTAAAAGAAGGAGAAAAAAGATGAAGTGTATTCATGGTTGATGAGAGGTGCCACGTAATCGGAGCTATGTCCCTCAATTATATTTATATATAGATAGATGTAATTGATGTTTCTTCTGTTATAGTAAATGCTAATCCAAATATTCCTTCTAGTTCTACTACTGCATCTGCTTCTGTTGATGAAGTTGAAAATGTTGAAGATTTTGCTATTTGGTCTACATCAAAGTAGTTTCTCGTTCTTTTGGGTAATGGCTCGAGACGTACTAAGTGTGTTAATTTTAACCGTTGCATTAGAAAATGCATTTAGCCAAGCAAGGTGGCAGATAAAAGATACACATTACTTATTGGATAGTCATGCTTTAAAAGTTCTAGTGTGTTTTAAAGATTTTAGATTGAAGCGACAAAATCAAGGACGTAAAGACGTAGATAATCCAAAGGACAAGGAAATTTGAAATATATTGATAAGTGGTTACCCATCTGAACTAAACATTCCAAAAGCAAGCCAAAAACTAATGTTGATATGAAATAACTTAGAAAGATGATGGAGAATCATTGAATATACTCTTGTTTAATATTGTTGTTCTAAACTTTTAATTTACAAGTATATAATCAAAATAGAACGTGCAAATTCTATTGTAATCTGAAAATCTTCATATTAAAGTATTATTTAATGAAATTAAGGCTCTTGGGCCTTTGATTGTTTTTCCTCAAATTACTTTCAAGTTTCAACTTTTAACTTTCAGTATTAAAGTAGTTTAAGACCTTAACAAACTATTTAAATTATTTATTTATAAATTATAAATTTATAAACATTAAAATAAAAATTATACCATACTATTTATATAATATATACTTATATTAAATATAAGAAAAAAATAAATTCAGCCTGATCCAACCCGGAATGATCAGGACCCGTACGGTCCAAGTATATCCCTTAACCCAAGCCCCTTAGCCATCCAGTAAGAACAACCTAGGACCAACATGGTGTCGAAACCGGTTGCGCCAAGTAAACAATTCATGGGGTGTCCTATGTGGGCACCCCCAATTAATTTGTACCCAATTTTTTTAAAAACAAATTAACTAGTACCCAAAGTACAAACAACTTTAGGTCTCCTCCTCCTCCTCCTCCTCCTCCTCCTTCCTCTTCTTAATGGTTGCGAAGACAAATGTGACGATGGATGCGTTTTACAATAGTGAACTATTGTGGCGCTCCTTTTATAAGCGGTGTCGAAATATTGTAGAAGAATGAAAATGATAACTTTAATTATCATTCTTCTAGACAACAAATAATTTTAGTCTATTGATTTTGTTGAGTTTCATGTTAGAAAAGGTCATCAAACATATTACCAACGCACCAAGAGACAATTTATGCCAATTTGGTGTCATTTTTTCCTACTTATCCGTTTCCTCACAGTATTTTATACATAGAATAATTCACCCAAATAGTTATCCACTCAATCACTTAAAATAAAAATGGCCAGTAAAGGTATAATTTATGTATTATATGTGTATAAATATGTATAATTAATGTATAATATATGTAGATGGCTAAAAAAATAAATAATGAATATAACCGGCTATTTGTGTAAAAATCTCATATATGTATTTAGTAAAAACAATTTGACGATACACTGCTTCGTCGGCCCAATGACATCTATAGTTTAGAGTTCCTTTTTTCCGCAGCATCCACTCTTCTTAAGCTGAATCAAAACATTCAGAAATTGAATCAAACACTCGTTGAGCCTATTGTTTGAGCCAATTTTCTCAGTTGTTGCGAAAGATGACTACTCAAGACGTAGAGATGATAGAGCAGGGAGCAGCAGCTCCTTCCAATTCTGTCTCCTCCACTGGCGGCCCCTCTGTCTTGCACCGTAAGTCACAATGCAAGAAACTTGTATCTCTATCGTTTAGGTTTATGGGGTTCATTATATAAAGATTCAATTTTTGGGTTTTATTTTCAAGGATTATTGAATGGAATTTTCTCGGTTTTTATTTAAACTTGTTAACTCCACGATGAAAGGAACTCACTTCTTGTGGAATTTAGGTTTATGGATTTTACTATATAGCCTCAAAGATCCAATTTTTGGTTTTATCTTCAAGGGTTCTATGAAATAAATTCTGGGGTTTGTGATATATTGTCTCAAAGATCCAATTTTGCTTTTTATCTTCAAGGTTTCTCTGAAAAAATTTCCGGGTTTTAAAAAATGAATCTTTTTTATAAGATAATAATTTTATTTAAATGAATCTTGGTTAGAGTTCCAGAAAGTGGTCAATTTGTTAATGAAATTGTGTGAATGTCTTAGATTTGAAGGAGATAGCGTCTCTGATTGAGAGTGGGGCATATGCTCGTGAGGTCCGGAGGATAGCCAGAGCCGTGAGGCTGACTATGGCACTGAGGAAGAAGCTAAAAGCTTCTGTACTCTCTGCTTTCCTCAATTATGCTCTTGTGCCTAGATCAGAGATGCATTCGCGGCTATCTTCATATCTACCCACGGTAATGTTTTTGAAATGGCTATTTAACGTTGATATATGTAGATGCCATCCTTCTGAACATGTTTAGTATCCTTAGCGGTCGTTTAGTTTGCCAAAATAATTTCACCGTAAAACCTTGCAATGTAAATACTGCTTTTGGTTTCTGGTATAGGACTCAGTATTACTTGTAGAACACTGCATTCTTCATTTTTGGTTAAAACTCCATACGATTTTGTGTATACATGACGTGGAATAAGAATGCATGTGTTAGCAATACCAGGATAAAACTAATTCTTGATTGCTCTGAATGATGATGAATGTACATAGGAAATCCATGTATTATTATTAATAAATAATCAAAGTATATTAGTCTGTGAACCAAACAACCTCTTAATGTTATGCCATTTCTTGAATTTACCAATTTTATGTTGACTATATCCTAAAAACAATGGATTTTTCGTTTTCTTGTCCCACATAATCGTTGTATCATGTCTGTATACTTACCTTGAAAACTCACAAGTGAGTTTGTGAAATAACAGTATGCTTTTGAGTTTGTTATGTCTTGAATTCCTGGTCTAGGATACCACTCAGCCCTTTCATATGCTTCCTCTTGATTTTCTTTTTTGTCAGCAGTAGGCACCGTAATTCAGGTTACTTTATCAGCATACCCATTTTTTTGATATGGTAAACCCCACCTCCTAACTTGTGGTTATGCCATAGAAGTTGTTCTTGTACGGTGAACACCCCCCCCCCCCCCCC